TTTGTTAGTGTTCATTAATGACATTATTGGTGTTTCAGAAAGAGAGAACAAGGGGAAAATGCAGCAGTTTGTGGGGTGGGTTTGGTTGTGGGGTTCGTTTGGTTGTTTGTTTTTTGGTTTCCTTTTTTTTTTTTTAGTTTTTTTTAAGTTTTTTTTGGTTTAAAAGCACAGGTGAGAACTGCGAGGATCAGACACTGTACCCAGAGCTCTGCTTGTCTAAGTTAATTAGCACTGGTCTAATGCCAAGACTACATGCTTCCACCTAAAGACAGTTTTGGACAAATCACCTGTGATAATCAGCTTCATTAAAACTCCATATCCGTATAGAATGGATTTGATTTTCTTCTAGTATGTCTTTCCCCAATAAAGCTGTAGGAAGATTCTACCTATTACAGCTCCCAGTAGCAAAGCATTAGTGCAAACATCACCCCATTTCTGTCAGAACTCGTTCATATGAAACTCGTTCATACATGAAAATGACAGGCCAAGTACAGATGTGTGTTTAGCACAGTCAGCCCTGTTCCTCCATGGCTGCTGAAATCCCATCACATTAAAAAGCAATCACTAATCTACTTTGCAGCAGCACTGAGTAACCTGGAAATGTGGTTTGTTTGGTTGTTTTTTTAATTAATCCAGGTAAGTTCACAGTTTTACTCTGCAGTGTTTGCAATTCCACATAAACAGTGACTGTGAGTTTTACTGATCACCTTTGTGGCACCTTATGCAAAAGCAGTACCAGATTTATGTTTTAAGCTTCCACTGCGTAAATTTTAGCCTTCAAAAGGGAAATTATTTATGCTTATGTAAATAGAGCTTAGTCATTGGGCAGGCTCAGGAAAAAAACAAAACAAAACAACAAAACCCCACAAACAAAAAAACCCCAAACCAAACAGAGCCAAGAAACAAAAACCCCAACACGCCAAAACCAAATACATAATAAGAATTTATTTCTTGTTTTGCATGTAATTGCAGAACATCACTAATTTATCATTAGAATACAACATATTTTTTTGAAACTATAGTTCTGGGATGTGGTAGGTCTGGGGGGGGGTTGGCTGAAAACTAGTGACCCACATTCTCAGCTCGTGTTCTGTTCCTTTCACAGCCCTGCAGTTCAGCACTGGTGTAGGTGGCAGGCAGAGCTCTGCATCCTGTCATGCTCCAAGTGTTATCATGGGCACTACACGTGCACCAGCTGGTTAAACATCACCTCGCTTGCTCCTGAGGGAATAACTCATTACTGTCCCTGTTCAGACTTCTTTTCCCCTTGCAAGCCATTTAATGACCCCTGTTACATGCAGCATCACTGCTGTGTTTTGTACAGGGACCAGGACTCTTCTGCCAGCCCCCACCCAAGGGGCTGTGCCAAAGCTGTTTCTCAGAAGCCTTTATTTAACCTTCATTGAGGCTCTGAAGACTTTCAATGGCAGAGAGCTTGGGCAGCTAGTTCAGTATCTAGTAAGGAATTGTTTTAAAGTTCTGTGTCAAATTGTAAATGTGACTGTGTAAACTTAACTGTTCCTCCTCTTTCTGTGGCCATGGCTCTTTGTACCTCCATTAGGGTAACATTGCATGGAGTTGAAGGTTACTCATCTCATCATGTGCCGTTCCTCTTCAGGCCACTTAAACTCAACTATAACCTTCCTTCATAGATGAAGCTTTCTAGTCCCACTGTAAAAGGTAGTTATACTCTGTCTTTCTCTGGATACCACATGTTTTTTGAGGTAGGGGGCCTAAACAGAATCTTATATGGGATATGCCCAAACTAGCTTTTGTTTCTCTTTGAATTTGTTTCTCAGTCTTAGGAGGATAATTTTAAATTCTGAACCTGCTTTCTGAAGAACTTGCAGCTACTCTGAGCATTCTGGAACCTTCATGTGTAGTACGTGAACCTCTCCCTCACACTTCAGTCCCATGTTCTATGTTCTTTCAGCCAAGCACAGCATACAGCAACTATCACATAATGGTTTTAAAGGAATTTACTATCCCTTCATCTGCATCCCAGTTCCTTATTTTTAATGGCAAGAATTACACATTCTTGCTCATCCTCTATTTCTTCACAAGCTCTGTCACAAAAAGGATTCAGAATTCATTAAAATGAAGGTTAAAGTTCTTTCCAAACTGCAGGTTATTTTATTTGCAAACAACCCCATGTTTGAAGGCAGCCTGATGTAAACCTTTCCCTTCTCCAGAAATGCTTGAAAAGCTGATGGTGTATCAAATTGCCTTTTGCAGCATGTCCATATTTAGTTCATTCCTTAAAAGCAAAATGAGGCCCCCTGGAGGCTTTGTTTTTCATATCTGTAGCATGTACTCATTGCTGCTGCTTTTGAGAAGTCCTTCTAAGATAGGCTTGGTTTCAGACAGAATGGGAGGCACAGAACAGTAACTAGAGACAACTTGTGCAATACAGAAAGATCTTCCAGAACACAGACTTGTTGAACCATTTAAGTTGTATTCCATTTTTGAAATGTTAACATTGTGTATGTATATTTTTTAAAATAGCAATCCTCAGTCAACCAAGACACAGAAGATAAAATACATTTCATATAAATACATTCATGGCTTTAAAAACAAAAAGTCTTATAGCCTCCTGACAGACTCAAGTGCAAGTATCTTTTTCATATGTACTTCACTTTTGTGATGCTGACAGGCTGACTAAAGGCTATTTAATAGTGACCATGTTTTAACACAGAAAAATTGGTAACCTGGCTCCAGGACCAAGTAATTTGAAAAGTTGCTACTGATATGGGAAGTACTTCCTGTTGTTGTAAACCAACTGTATGTGTCTTAAAAAAAAATAATAATTTAATTTTTTTAGAAAAGCTACTTCCTTGTTCCTTTTAGTGACTCTTGTAGTTCCATGCACAACGAGATACAGTCAGCTTTATATACCGTTTTCTTTTCCTCTTTCCCCTCGGGGTTCTTGGAAGATGAGCTGGCAGTGTTCTGGTCTAGGCAGAGAAAGTTATGCATTGGGAAGTTTCAAGTTGGTCCCCAGGAGGAGGGATGATTTAGCTGAGGAGTATATAGCCATGATTTATTTTTGCCAAAGTCTATTTTAACTGGAAAAAAGAAAAATACACATACATGCAATGAAAGAAAAAAACCTTGCCCTGAAGTTACAAGCTCATGTGTTCGAGAAGCGTTGTACAAAATCTTTTACTTTCTGTACAGTGACAATACCAAATAGTTTTTCTTTTTAACCATCATATACACAACACAAATATTATGAATAGAAATCTATATATACTTTCAAGTGCATTTGTAATATATAGCAGTTGAGGGCCACAGCTGTACAAAATGTAAGCAACATATATAAAACAACTAAGAAAGTGCAAAGTAGAAGAGTATCAAGAGCCTTCACTTTTTACAGCACTTATGGTTCAAGTGTGAAGAGCTGGCAGGGATGCAGGAGCTCAGTTACAATTCAAAAGAAGACACAGTACAGGATTCGGCACAAAAAATGATGAAGTATTATTAAATTATATCTTCCCACTCTTTTACATCTATGACTTCCAGTTAATAAGAGAACATTTTTGTAATGAATTTCTGTAAAGAGTGATTTGTCCCTTTTTACAAGTTCCATAAAACAAAAATTCCCTAGCCACAAATTACTTTTCTGTAAGTAAAACAACGCTAGACAGGGAAACTACAGTTGGTTTCTGGTTGCCTTGTTAAGCTTACCATAGCTAAAAGGTGAACAGAAATACCTTTCCATAAAGCAAAGACAGACCTTTAAAGCCTGAGCCTCTAAATTCTGTACAGGTGACCTGTACCATTACTCACATGCATGTGAAGGTCTAGAGGATCGGTGCCTTGAAAACAAAACCACCAACCACCTCTCAATAAAACCCACCACAACTCCTCTGAGTTTCAAGTCTGTTTAGAGACCACTGCCCTCAGTTTCACTGCTGTTTGCCAGTTGAGATGCAAGTTTTGCATCCTGCACTTGGGCACTGATTTCTCATCAGTACCCCCTGTAGCAGCACAAGTCTTTGTTTTCTTCTACGCTGTGTCCCAGTGGAAAGCTCTGCTTGAATTAAAATACAGCGGCGAGTAAAATCTGTTTGGTGAGTTGGGAGTTGAAACAGTTAGTTCAATGCTCTTGAATGAAATTTCATATAACTTGTTTTTAGAAAGCTTTTCAGTTCACCTTTATTTCAGTAAGTGTACTTTATATTCTGTTGTAGGCACTGTAAATAATCAAGATACTGATGTGCAGAGGAACCCATCCATTCTTAAGCAGTGTTATTAGTGATCTCTAGCAAGTTCTTGACTAATGTTGTTGGTTTTGTTTTTAAATGGAGAAGGGTAGACATTAGATACTCCTCTTTCCTCCTTTGCTAAGTGTCTTATTATGACAGAAGAATCACCACAATCACATTATTTTTAACTCTTTGAAACATAGATCATACTTCAGCATGAGTTAAACAGAAGTTGCAAGCAGTCTGAATATGCTAGAGAAACAATAATAATAAAATTACCTGGTCATACTGCTTCACATAATGATGTCTGTCTTGAAACTGGAGATTATCACATGAAACTCTATGGAGACCATCAGTGTCTAATCTCTAATAATTACGAACTTGGAGTCTAAGATATTCTGTTTTACTCGATAGAGATTACAGAAAGTCACCTATTTGGTGTGTTTTTTGAATGCGTGATATCTACAGTATACACAGACATCCAGAACTGAGGCATGAGAAGAACCATCTGCACAACTGCCTGGCCAACAGAGCTGCTTTATTTGCCTCCGTACATTCTTTCGATGTCATTGAGGTAATGGTTTTTCAGTTCTTTCCTTTTCAGCTTGAAAGCATCTGTTACCAAGCCAGTCTCTGGGGTCCAGGGTTCAGGGCTTAGCCGTACTTTGATGGGTATTTCAAACCTTTCTAATTTCACTGCAGGTACAAGAAGAAAGAGAAGCATGACTGTGATTACAAAGCCAAATGAAATACTAATTTGTGCTACCTAAAAATTTAAGGTGAGCACCCTGTAGCTTGTATAATACGGTGTCCTACTTGAGGAAATAACCTTACAGGAGGGCCACAGGCAGATTTAACCCTGCACCAATGCTGAGTGCTGGTTAGTGTGCAAATATGCTAATAATACACTGTACTTGTAGCTTGCATTGGATGTGACAGTGCAAAATCTAAAGCTTGAAACAAATGCCTGTGTAGCCTGAAGCTCTGAGGCTACTGCCACAAGAGGATACAGAGAAATCTAGAGTTCTATCTTTGTTACAGGAATGTAGTAATAACTAGGTTAACTCAGACTAGTTAGATGTGCTTCATATTTAAATTATAATGAAGGACTTCTATGTTTTCCATAATTGAATGTTTGTTTCCCAAATTCCTCCTTCCTAGGAGTTTACTTAGAGTTCAAAACAAAGGGACTTCTCTGTATTTTTGTTACATTAGCCACTTATTTTCCCTTGAGCTGGAAGCAGTGTCTTTGCACATGCACAGCCTCATTGCAGCCAAAGCTGCTTCTCTCTCTTGCCCAGGCAATGGGCCAGAGAGGGGAGCAAAGGAGGAGGCTCCAGGGAAGGGCAGGAGCAGCAGGAACAGCGCAGGGAGCTGCTGCATGTGCACAGTACTCGATGGAGTTTGCTCTCAGCTCCTGTTTGTAGGCTGGGAATGCGATCCCACGGACATGGACTGGCAGCTGAATTTCCAGCACAGCCTCCGGGGGGCAGCAGAGGCGGGACCCGGGAGCGTTTCTGCCTCTCTACCTTCGGCTGGTACCAACGCACTGCTGCCTCTCACTCAGACAGGTGTCTGCTCATGAGGAAGTTGCTTTATGTTCCACTAAGAATGAGAACGACCTCTTTAAAATAGTTTTGGAAAAAGGCTTCACATAAACTAATTGTATCTCAATAGCAAATTACTATCCAGAAGGTACAAAGAACATATAAGCAAAGAGTTTGAGTACAAAGCTATAAAGATAGTAATTTGCCTGACTCATGACAGAAAAGCATGGATTAAAATGTTTAAACCCAAACCTAAGACCCACAGATTGATTTATTTTATTTTTAAAGGCAGGACTTAATAGTGCCTTTCATTCTTGTTTTCTCATTTTCAAAAGGCAGATTCTCCTCTGTACAGTTAGAGAGGCAGTGCTTAGCCTGTGCTTAAGTCCAGCTTTTACTGCTTCCTTGTATGAGGTGCCAAATGCTTCAGAGACTTTCTTCCCCAGTTGCTTTATTCATTTTTTTGGCCCCCTAAAGGATTGATGAGACTTCTGATTAATCAATACCACAGCAAGAAATAGCAGGCTTTCAAGCCATTACAACCACAAGGGTTGTGGTTGTTCAAAGCTGTAGGAAACAAAGTTGTATGGCGAAAAAAAGCTTTGAAATCTCTTGTTTAACTTGTTTCCTTACCAGCAAATGTCCTGTAACTTTTTTTCCAAATTGACAGTTCTTTTGGGCCTTATTTTAACTGTATTAGGCAAACAACTTGTCTCTAGAATTTAGCTGAAAAAAACCTTCAGATATTTTTTAAACAATACAAAAAATAAAGTCATTAATAGGACCAAAAAGTATGTAAATTCCTGGGATAATAGGCAACAATTTCATGTGGTCTTTGCCTCTGATTAAACTATTACTCTGTGGCAGATAGAGAGAAGCTGGAAGAAGGAGGAGCAGTTAGTGAGGATAACTTACAGTTTTTGCTGGGTAAGCCCCACAAGACTGACCAGCACCACGTGCTCTGTTACTTACTCTTGTTTGCTACTTCTTTAATCTCTCGCAGTATTTCCGCTTCCATCGTCGGATTGTTACAAATGTCCACCCAGGTTCCACTGATGCCTTTCTGCTCAGCCAAAGCCATCAGCCTCTTCTGATTAGGAACCACAAAACTGATCACGTAAGACTGGTCACTGCCCAGGGATGGCAAGGGAAGGAAGGAAAACAGATCCAGTCAGGACTTCCATTTCAGGGAGTAAATTACCTGATGTCAGAGCCACAGATGCCCAGGGCTCTCTGACCTTGAGTTACTCCCCCATACACAATCCTTCTTTTACAGTAAGTCTTCACAACTCATGGCTTAACAGGAAGCTGGTTTACAATGTTGGCTTTGATCAGAATCAGGTTTTGTGTGTTTTACATAGGCACATGTCAGTTTAGCTTCCCAGCTAAACCTGGTGCTCAGCCAGTTCTCTGCAGTTCCCCCTCATGTAGTATTTTCAACTGAGGGAGAGGAGAGACCAGGACCACTTCCAAAACTCACTGGAGAGCTTTAGATTAGGTGCAAAGTGTCCAGATTAACTTTTCGCTGGTATTCTGACAGAAGACTAAAACACATCCTAAATATAATGATGCCTGTTTAGGGAAGGGATGGGATGGAACTGGAGTGTATTTGGATAGGTGAAATGCCAAAAGAAAAACTGCTCGTTTCTTCAGCTTTTAGGGAACCTGGGACCTGTGCTACTTCAGAAATACTCTTTGGAACTTGCATTCTGGTGGAAGGGGTTGTTCAATGGAAACCACAGAAAACCAGAGTGTTGCATCAGAGAAGTGGATCAGAGCCTGCATTTTGTGTTCAGTCTGAATGGAGTTTCTCAATTAATACCACTCTTACCTTTTGGCATAAGCACAGATATTGTCAATCAATGGACAGTTCTTCAGTGCTGCCTCTACTTTGCCCAGAGATACATATTCTCCTGCTTGTAGCTTTACCAGGTCTTTCTTACGATCTAGGAGTCAGGGGAAGGGAAAAAGAAAAGCTTGTTTCATGTAAACTTTTGCATTACCACAGACTCATTTCCAAAGCCACTATATATGGATTTTGTGCAATGCTATGCACAAACATTAATTAAAGCATCTTAGTAAAATGTTAAAGCAGCTAATAGCTGCCAACTTTGTAAAAACTTCTGTAAAAAAGTCTATATAGCACTACACTTTTTGTCACACAGGTTGTAAGAAAGTGATGAGGACTCTCCTTTTAAAGACTGGTAATTAATACAAAAGTTAATCTTACATTTATTCTTTAAAGTCCATGTGCTAAATCTAGATGGTGATAATGTCACAGAAAATGGCATCGCTTCCATTACTACAGCTGTGAGGACTTTTGGAAATGTGTTTTACACTGTGACTCTGCAAGCAAATAACCTTAAGTAGGTTAGTCCTGGCAAAGCCAACAGCATTAATAGCATGCTTATGTTTAGTCAGTATCTTGTAATATATTAAAATATCCAAACCTGAGGCCCACCTATGATCTGCAGACACCCATCGGGATGGAATTCCCCGATGTCTCCTGTACAGAACCATCTCTGACCGTTCTCATCAATGGAAAACTCTTCTGTTGTCTTCTCTTCATTTTTAAAGTATCCCATTGAGACATTAGGTCCACCAATTACAATTTCTCCTCTAGGATTAGGCTTGTCTTTATTAGTATAACCCCCTGAAAAGAACCAAGTCCCACATAATTATTTTTAATATATATATTCTGTTGCCAAGAAAATACTTTGAAACGTCAGCTTGAAGTTAAAACACACTAATTGATCATGTTAAAAAAGATAAAGAACAATTACTTCCTATGCTACCTCTAGCTAAGCAGGTAGGCAAAGAAACCAGCTAGGCAGGAGCTAAATTAGTTACTCTGAAATCAACACAATTAATACTCTCACCTTCTTGCCAATCTCTCAGTTTTATTTCACAGCAAATAAGAGGAGCTCCAACTCTGCCAGTGCTGTAATCAGCAACTTAGGAAGAGAACAACAAAGAACAGAAGGTTTTTTGTTATTTGAAATATAAATAGGCTGTAGCTTATCTCACGTTGCTTTACTGCAGTTAAGAACTACAGCTATTTGGGCTTCACAAAAATCCCTCAAACCCCCATACATACATATCTACATCTTAAATTCTGTATTTCCAGAAGTGCTTTAACTACCTTCTGTAATGGTTCCAGCTCCACAAGTTTCTGTTAGTCCATAGCCTTGACCAACAGGACAGCAAAAACAGATGTTCATGAATCTTTGTGTTTGAGGTGAGAGTGGTGCTCCTCCAGAGAGCATCATACGGACGTTCCCTCCCAGCAGGGCCTTTACTTTTTTAAACAATAGTCTTGAAAGGAGGAAAGAAGCATTAAAAATTATTCACTCAGCTCACTTTTATAAAAGACACACAAACCTTCTTCCTTCCTTCCTATCTGGAAACGCCTTAAAAATGAACTTATTCACAGATTTTAGTAGGGACAGGAGGGCGAATCAAAACCCGTTATCTCTTGTGTAACACTCGAAGAGGCAGAATTCCTGTAGCTTAACTAAACAAACATTCCAAATTTATTACAAAAAAAAAATGCAATCCAATGAAAACTAACTAGTCAGCTGTTGGGAAGATTAGTCATTCCTACCATTAAATATCCGTTTCCAGTAAGAACTTGGATTACTTCAGTTAGTCATTAGATGGTATCTGCACGTTGGATGAGAACTGTCTGATAGCTCAGATGATCCTTCTTTTAAACTGTCTTAACAGATCCCAAGGCAAAAGGTACACTTGGATTGTGAATAATACTTACATGTTACACAGAGGTGCATCGTATCCCCTCTTGATCTGTTCCAATTTGTAGTCATAGCCTATCTTGAACAGAGTTCTCTGGATATAGTTCATCTCTTGAACTTTACTCATGACATTTTTATAAATTCTGTCCATTATTTCCTACAAAGTGTTAAAAAAAGCAAGGAAAATTACCACAAGGAGCAGTAGACTAGCATGTGTAAATTAAAGTCCATGTTATGCTATAAATAAGCCCCCATATTATTCTTCCTTTGCAATGGATAATAAGAGTGAAAAATATTTGCACCATTGGTTAGGCAGTGCTTAAGAGCAATGTGTGATCAATCAGTCAATTTATAGACCACCACAGCTCAGTGCTATTTACACCTTAACCTGTACTTAAACTGTGACAAACTGGCTTAGAAAATTCTGAATTCAAGTTTAGGTAAATCTCTTTGCTACAGGCTGGTATATTCTATGCAAGACTTATCGTGCTGAGGAGTCCTGATGCTGTACTTTATCCACAGCAATTGGCAAGTGCAAGGGAATGAACCAAGAGATTTCATTTCACCATTTCCTTTTCCAAGATTGTTTTTCAACTTTCAAAGCAACGTGGTTGCAGTAATTCGAGTTATCTGACAAAAAAACACCACAATTTTGTCACAGAGGAGAGATTAATTTCCATTAAAATAATAACCTTATGATCACTAAAATGCACAGAACCTAAAATAGTGTTCAGACTGATGAAGTATTTAATAGAAGTTTAAAGACTGGCTCCTTTGTTTTGGAGCGCAATGCTTTGAAGTATTTACGTGCTTTCTCCTCATGAAATAAATTTAAATGGATATTTTCCAGCAGGCTGGGGTTCTCAGACATATTAATTATCACTCTGTTAATTATTAAGAAAGAGACCAAGCTGCTATATATGCTTAGCATTTTATAAAACAAAAAAAATGCAAGTAATTGATTTTAAAACTCTTGGCTATTCTAAGATGCAAAGCAACCAAAGCCAACCCAAACTCTCTATTCTTAAATGAGATTAAATCCTCCTACTCACTCACCACCACCATGTGGCAACAGCTGGTGCTACCAGTCTCATGAGCCACAGATGTGATAAGATCACAAAAGCAGCACATGTGATTCCAGGACACATGAGGAAGGTTTTTCCATTAGAAAGACCCAAACATTTGTGGATTTTTTTGGATAGCACCATAACCTTGTGGTATGCAGGAGCCTGGTCACTCCAAGAGCAGCATGAGCTACAGAAGCAATAGGAGTTACAGTCTCCTGATCATTTTTGCTTTGCTTCTAAGAGATTAAACCTGTCCTGCTTACCCTGAGAAAGCAAGAGAGACTCAGCCTCAGCGTTACCTTGAAGACAAGCAGCTGAGACTGAGCACCCCAAAAACTATGGCAGCACAGCCTGAGTCTGTGACAGCCAACTGCCCATATCCTTGAAGTGTCCATGTTGGCCAAAGCCACCCTGCTTTGTCCCTATGGAAAAAGGAGTTCCAGACTGTGACTGTCAAAGGCTTTCTGTGCTGCATCAGTAGCCCAGTAAAACACCACTTGCAACTTCTGAAGCACATTTACAGGTTTGGATGAAAAAGGGTCTTGACTTTAGTACAGACTCTTTAGTACAGATCTGCATCATCAGTACTCTGTTCAACCAAAGACAACTGGAATGTCTGTATTCTGCTCTTTCCTAATAGTGACAGTTACTTTCATGTGAAGAGAAAAACATATTAGTAAATAGACTTTTCTAGCATGAAAAAGATAGAAAACATAATTTTTTTGCTAAACGTATCTGCTTCTGCATACTTACAGGCACAGCTGCCATCAGTGTAGGCTTAAGTACAGTGCAGTCTCCTTTGCTTCCCTTCTTAATTTTACTTGACTGTAATTAAAAAAAAATGTCAATTTATGAAGCAGAAAACCAAACAGCTCTTTAAAACTGAGGGACTAAAAAAAGAGGGAGATATATTATCAGGTGATTTGTATAAATCTCTTCTGTTCCTGTGTAATTTTTCCCCCCATAGTGATGGAAAGAGTAACAATTAATAACTACTTCAACCAAACTACTAGATGTTTTACAAGTTCACTTTGTTTATCTTTCTCTTACTTCCTCCCTCTAGTAGTTGCTTTCTCCATCTTCCTCTGGGACTTTGTTTTGCCTGATGCAAATTTCTATACCAGCAAAACATACAGACACCTCTTTTATGGCTTAATTTGCTCTTATTTATCTTAACTGTTAAATGGAAAAAGGCAAAGGGCTCAATAGAAGATCTGCAATAACTGGATAAAGAACTGATTAAGTGAGACTCTGCCACCCCTCACCTGATCCGAGAGAGTGAGTGGAGAGGAATATCCGATCCTGCAGCCGTACGTGATGCAGGAAACTTCTGCTGTCAGTTCTAACACATGGGCCAGAGGCAAGTAACCAATGTAAGTGTCCTTGGGGCTAGGAAAGGAAAGGGTTACCCAATTAACCATGAGGCACAAATGGACTGAAAATACTGTTTAACAGTTTTATTGCGTGCTTAGTTATTGCTTTTTGAAAGACCTGGATCACAAGTAAGGCTTATTCTTCTGCACACAAGAAGGATGTGATTTCAACCACAGTATGTGAACAAAAGGAGGAGATATGACTTTACTGAAATCAGTATGAATTACAGGATTTGCCTTGTTTTCTAGGAAATATAAAGGTTCCTTAGTGCTTCACTGCTATTTCCTCTCCTTTTGGGAGGTTTCATTCCAGTTACGAAATTAAGGATGAAATCTCTATATTTTAAAATAATAACCAATGATGACAAAACCCTGTCAGTCTTTTTCTTCTAAGGTACCTTTCTAGGAAGAGGGCTTATCACTGAAGCACTGAGGCTTATTTGAGGAAGTAACTACTCAGAGACTTCTCAACAAGACATTTCTAGCTGTCACTGAACAGAAGCTTCCAGCATACAGTCAGAACTGGGTCTGTATCCTCTCATAAAAGGAGTTTAGCAACATAGCACATTTCAGCTATTGAACCCTTTGTGAATGCACACACAAACACATCCACTGTCATGAAAAATTTCCTCAAAACATTAATGTGAGGGGACTTGCAGTTGGTTTTACTGTCATCAACACACAATTTATTACTCTTCTGCTCCTTCAGTGCACTGTACTTGAGCAGATTCTGCAGCATGTGCATGAGCCACCCAACAGTGGTGTCTGTAGGTCAGTGGAAGTGGTAGGCTCTGACATACTTCCTACACCCATTCGAGCTGCCTGAAAGTGTCTAAAAAAAATTCCTCAAGTTGCACAAAAAAAAGTAGCAAAAGCATGTGAGAAAGGAGCCAGAAAGGGCATACTTTTCAAACAGGGAAAGTTCACAAACACAAGACATATTTCTTATAAATTAAAGTAGTGGACTCACAATAAAATGAACAAACTTGATAACAAACAATGCCAGCAGCAGCCTCTCTCTAAATTTGCATACTTTTGGAGGTTCTGTTTTACTTCTCCATACACAACTGTTTCTTACCCCAGTCCAGGTATCCTCTCACACTGTCCTGTCATTCCAGCTATTAAGTTTTTATGCTGCATCATCACTCCTTTGGGTCTTCCAGTAGAGCCACTGGTGTACATTACTAAAGCCAAGTCTGTAGGAACAGGTCTGCTTGGCAGAATACTTGCTAAAAAACACAGGAGAAAAACTGTTATTAATTCTTATCTACTTTCTAAATTATTTCTGTAATTAATCAATCAATGTGAAAATGTCTGTAGTCAGTGTGAAGCAGGTGCTCCATCCAAGACAAGCACCCTGTGCTGCTGCATGGCCAGTGGGGGAGGCAGAAGTCAGTGCTGGAGAGAACAGTGGTCTGGTTTTAAGAGTAAGAGAGGGAAGGCTGATTTTAAAAGGATTACGAAAATTTGGGCATCTACACAATCTAGGTGATGCTTTTGTCATTCTGGCTTATAGCTGATTGAAAGTTTCATGGAAGAGGCCTTTTGAAGACCAACTAAATCTGTCAAGGGCAGCAAAAGAGATAAATACAGTCTTGGAGAGAAACAGGTTAGTGGAAGGCAGAAGCTTAGACCACTTTTGATTTTTGTTTTAATCCCTTGACATTCATTCTTAGGATGAAAATCATTAGCTTTCATGGCTTTCACAATCTCTGCAAGGAAGCAGGTCTTTTAGGGACAAAACCCAACAAAACAACAACCCTCAGGGTCACTGCTGGTCTCTATCAGCACCTCAGGCTGATCAGAGATAAGCAGCTGTGAGGAGTCTGTGCTTCCCAAAGCTCATTTGCCAGTTTATCTCCTCCTTTATTCAAGAGAGAGGAGATGAGGCTAAGTACAGACTGCTGATGTAAGGAAAACAGATCATCAGGATTGGGTTTTCCTTCCTTATATTTACAGTCACTCCTGGCTGCCCAATAGAGCAAGGAATGTAATGGTTATTCCTCTAGCCCAAGGTGCCTTTTTAGCTACAGCTTGGTTAAGAAAATGGACATTTCCGAGCCAATAAAAAACCCCAACAAAATCAACCAACCAAAAAGTCCTTCGAGTGCTTTCTCCTCTTTTCTTAGGAAAGTAGTGAAAATAAGATGAATAAAAGGTAAGGGTAGCAAAAAAATGCAACACTGCACTGGATTCCATTTAATTTCCTAAAACAAAGGTGGAGTCTTAAATTATTCTGATTATGGTTTAGAAGTTAAAAATTAAGTTTTATCCTGACATATCTGACACTTAAACAAAAGAGATCTAGCAAATTTTTTTTTATTTAAAGGGAGCCAGAGAATGAACTGACCATCTGCCACTGCCTTTTGCTGGACACCTGCACAGATGGGGGGTTTTCTGCTACACATCCCTCTTACCCCAGGTCTGATTTCACTGCTAACACTGTTCTGATTAGTCCTCTCTGAAGTGATTCACTTACAGTTTTCTGGTTTGGCTCCCAGCTCTTCCACTGTCTGCATACTATGGATCTCCACGTTTTCAGGGTATTCTGATTTATTGATAGTCTTCTTGTCCACATAAATGATATGTTTCAGACAGGAGACTTGTGGTAGTGCAGTCTATAGAAGAGAAATGACACTTTTAGCACTGTCTGCTCTGTAAAATTATTATAGGGTTGCTTATATCAGGTGAAGCTGGTACCAAATTACCTTAAGTTTGCTCTCAAGAAGTTCCACACTCGTGACCAGATATGATGCTCCACACTCGTTGAGGCCATAGGTCACTGCCTCTTCACCCAGGGTGGCATAGAGAGTGACAACTGTCCCAGTGAGGGCAGAGGATATGAGAGAGAGGTTAAAGTAACACTAAATGCAAGAGCTCTTGCTTTAGCTTCCCTCTTTTGCAGGAGGGCGGGGTTATTATTAGCTCAACTGGGAATTTTCTAATTTGGAAATAAAATAGCTTTTAATTTTCCCATGTCAGAAATTTTACAGCACAAGAGACCTCTGGAACAAGGAGGACAGTTGTACAGGAAGCATTTCTTTACTAGGAGAGTGGTCAGACACTGGAACAGGCTTCCTAGAGAGGTGGTTGATGCTCCAAGCCTGTCACTGTTTTGGAGGCCTTTGAGCAATGCTCTTAATAACATTTTGGGGGGAGAAATGCAACTACTGACATCTTCAGAGTATTTTAAAAAAACCCCCTGAATAGTAACTGTGCTGTTCTGTCATTCTAACATCTAGAACATTGCTACAATAAGATCATAAAAAACAGTATGAGCAAGTTGATTTCAGGGATCTCCACAACACATAGAACACTGAAAACTTGTAAGAACCAGACCTTCAGCGGAGGAAGTTTATGAAATTCTTACACCTTCAATGACAAGATTGGCAGAGTCAAAATACTTTAAAGCCAAACCAGTGCTGAGAAATGGTTCTAAAATACATCAGAAGCAAGTTGAGCACTCACGAGGGAAGTTGTACTTGAAGCAGGTCAGAGCTACAATCATCCATTCTGCTCGGGTCTCACAGAATATGACAACAGTACTCTTGGGGGTCAGACCCAGGGCTGTCAGTCCACTCCCCAGGCGAGTCATTTTCTCATTTACTTCTTCATAGGATAACCATCTGTAAGTTCCTAAAATTAACTGGTGAGGAAAAACAATGAATTTTGGTGACAAGAAGCTGCTGGTACAGCTCTACCAGCTTATGTGAGTTGGTGCATAACAGCATAAGCACACACTGCCATTCATTAAAGTTGCTTTCATTTTTCTTGAAGTAGAATAAATAGTGCATCCTGTATTCTGTTATTCTTTAACTACCATCAAATGGATGGTTTATAAGATGATGACTGAAGAAGAGCTCTAAAGAGTTGTGCATTACTGAGGCAAGATGCAAAGCAGCTCAAAAGCAAATCAGAATTAAGTACAAAACTGTAAGTTTTACCTTTTTGAAGACTTTTCCGTTTGGTTGCATTTCATTTTCTTCACTCAGTATTTCTCTGGTTCCAAGACAGTCCTTCTTCCCAAACTTTGCAAGAGCATGGTCAAACAGCTTGTCCAAGGTGTCTGCTCCAGGAATGTTGATGTTTGCTAGTGAGTCCAGATGAGTGACAGAGCGGTAGGGGCTCCCAGGTTTGTCCGAGATGGGTTTGGCTTTTAACCGTTTTGCCATAGCCTTTTTCTTCTTAGCATTGGTAAGAAAATACCACGGAATAAATACCAGCATACTGTACAAGGAGATTAACAAGTACACAGGCAGCAAAAGAATGGTACACACTTCTAGCCTAAGTTTCATTGTGGCTATTTAAAAAAGAAACTCTCTTATGAAGTTCTGAAGCAGGCAAGAGCAAAGCAGCAGCACAGTGGGGTGTGGGGAGAAGCAACAGCACGTGAAGGTTAGGTCTGGTTCACAGCAGCTGCTAAAATTTTAGTAACCTTTGAGAGCCAACAGTGGACGCCTGTGGGTGAAGACCAGTGCCAAGCAGAGAGCAGGAAAAAAAAAAAGAAAAAATAATTAAATTAGTAATATTAGTAATATTACAGTCAGTTCATTAGTTTTAGTCCTTCTAAGAGTTCACTTCAAAAGCATCAAGACAAAGGAGACTGAAGTAACTGATTTAAGAGGCCTGTATGCTGCACAATAGAGCACTGTAGTGCTCTGGGGATGAAAGAGGGTCACTCTTTTCCATACTTGCTTCTTGCATCCACAAATCTTTACTTTTCACAGACTTTTCCCCACTGTCTCTGAATAGTTCAAGGCTGTTGAGATAATTCTGTCCTTCACATCAAAATACTGTGTTAAAGCTGTGTGAGTAATGCCCCAATTGCATAATTATGGGAAAGGTCAATGCTTGTTTTCCCCTAAATATTTGTACTACAGAGAAAAGATACAGTAGATTGCTTTACCGCTTTTCAAAATATTACATCAACTTATATTCATATATTACAAGGTATCTTGATAGAGTCCTCAAAAGTCTACATGTTGTAATCTAAAAACTACATAATATTCCAAAACTGCTTTATTAACTTTGCCCCAGCAGCTACATTCCTGATCTCTTACTTTTCAATGTCAGACTCTTGGAAAGGGATTACACAGATTTGCTTTTCCAACTTCAAAAACTGCTTCAGTACATGCATTTCAAACTCCAGGTATGGAAAATGGAATCAAATTTGACCAATTTAAGTCAATTTAAAAAAAAAAAAGCACAATTTGGCGAGATTTTGTCTGCATGTCAGAAATCTTTCCTCATTATGGAGAACTGGCCCTGAATAAAGACTGAAGGCAAGTGGCAGAAAAACAAAAGCATCACAGCAAATCACAGCTGTGGCCAGAGCACTGGCCTGTAACTAGCCTGCACTGGCATGTGAGAGATATAGGTTATTGTCTTCATCTGGCTGGCACACAAACATGGTCTGCAACACATCACCCACACTGCCACAGTGGGGAAATAAAAGAAGAGGGGCACTGACCAAAGGGCAGCACCTCAGTAACACTGACACTTATCCCAATCCCAGGCTGTCATGGACACAATCTGATAAACAGAATGGATGAGAAGAGGGAAACTTTCAGGGCTCCATCAAGAATTAAAAGAATGTGGGCACACCTCAAAATACACCTTTATTAATATATTTGCCACCCTCAGGTGATGAGGGAGGCTACAATTAACATTTCAGGTTAAACAAGACAACTGCTACTGATAGTGTTAGCAGAAATCTGTTAATAGGCTGTTGGGGTTTATAATAAGAATCCCAACATATGCAGTTGTGTCGTAGCCAATATCAACAGCATTTAATGTAATGTAAGATTAAGAGATCTGCAGATACTTAACATGACCACCACATTAATTTCTGTAATTACATCTACATAATAAAATTACTATTGAATGATAATATAATAAACTAAGCTAAGATAAACTAAGCTCAGACTTGTTTGGAAAAAAGTATTCTTCGGATACCTTTTTATAAAAAAAGATGAATGCTACATTCCTTTCAAAACATACATGCTTGTTCATGACTAACTTCATGTTCTAAGTTGAACTAAGCTCCAGTTCTCTAAAATGAAGGTTTATTGGTTTATATTACAAATCATTTCAGTTAATTCAGTGCTCCAAACACAGCACTTGAGCTTGTACTGCAAACAGAATCCAGCCATGGCACTGAGACACAGTATGGAAATGTCAGTGCACGCCCATGGTTAGACATAACACTAAAAAATAAACCCCATGGAGAACTCTCACTGCTCCTCACCTTCCAACAAAAAGCATATGACCAGGCACAGTGACTTGGATAAAAAGCAGAGTTGTCTGACTATTGCAAACTATTTAACATAGTGAGACAGTACCACAGCTTTTCTTTGGGCTCAGTAGGAGCTTGGGCCCAAGTTGTCCTACTGATGAAAAACTGCTGGCTAATAATCCAGAACTGGTTAATTCAGGAAGGTTGCATTTCTTTCATTTTAGAATTTCAAGTTAATTTGAAATACTTTTGGAAGTGTTTATAAAAACAGAAAACTTAGCTAATTCATACATATTTGTAATCATTTAAAACAGAGTCATGTTTCTATCCTGACAAAACTCAGCTGTAATTCTTAACAGACATCAGCTGGAAAAACTTAGTGAGTCCCAAAAAGACAACCTTGGCTTTTTCCCTTGAGCCCATGTAAAAGCTCACACACACACACAGGAGTACTTACAAGGGATCTGACTGTGCTGACTGAGGTTTTTTTCAGTGTCAATTAAATCTATAGTAAAAAAAGGAAAAAAAGAACATGTTAGAGGTTGGGAATTTTTTTGCCTTGCAGAAAGGAGGAATCTTTAGAATTTCCAAACACAACCCATACAAGAGGAGAGCAATTGCATTATTGGAAAAGATTAGGCTTCCAAACTACATTGTACAGATAGAGACCAAGCTACCAAAAAAGTAGTTTAACTTTTATGGGACACTATCCCTTCCCCCTCCACCCCCAAGTTTAAACATGTTCTGAATAAAGTTATGAACAGCAGCTTAATATAATTTAATTAAAAAAAAAAGACAAGAAAGAGACTCTTATATTCCATATGGTCCATTCTTCAGTCTCAAAGCAGAAACAACAAGACCTTTCTCATCCTTGATAGATGAGTATCAGTAGAAACATGAACTCAGGACTCCCCATGGCACACACACTGCCCAAGGGAGGCATGAGAAACATGAAGTAGATTTTGGGTGTTGAGGTAAGAGAAGAGTTTCCAGAACAAAAGCATGGTTATATGGGCAGAGAGGCCTCACTGGTCCCATGACCAGTGAATAAAAGATGGCTGTGTGTAACTGCAGAGATAAGGCTCCAAAAAGTCACAGCATAATCATTCTCTTTGACTACTGGGTGTTTACATACAGAAAGCTTTAACTGATATTTAATCTGGTTATGTTTTAATAGCTTTCCCCATAAATCTAAGATTTCAATCAATTTTACAGACTGAAGCTGAGTTAAATGTCCCTTGCAAAATTCTCTTACAAACATTTTCTCTTGAAATGTGAAATAAAAGAGAGGTGCTAGAATGTTTTTAGTGTTTCTGGCACTTGCATGTGGCTGTATAAGATTTTGATCCATTGCAGGACCATCCCAAACTCATGCTAAATAAATGTTCATCATATTTTAAATATAATGCATAACAGTCTGACATACTCAACTTGCAAAAGTACCAATTCTATTTGGTTAGAAGCCAAACTCAGCTATTCAAATTACCCCTTATGCCTTCAATATCCCATTTAAGTTTAATTAGACTTTAAGAGAAAAGATGAGACGCAATGTTCACATCAATGCACCATCAAGGATACCTTCAAGGCAACACAACTACATATTACTAAAATACAGCAGTTATGTTCTCAGTAAACTTTCCCATTCTTTACAAATGAAAGACGATTTGGCACTCATGACAAATTTCACAGTATCAAAATAGAACTACTATTTAATACTACAATATTTAGAATATGCGATATTTTCTACTGACTTACAAAGATCATTATTTCTCTTAACTGTTGGACATAACTAGCCTATTGAGGTCCTTATCTAGCTATTTTGGAAACAGCAGCTTCCAGGCTCTCGATGCAGGAAATCCATGTTCCCAGTGAGAGCGACCCGTGTGCGTCAGGGGTGACTGCAAAAAAACCCCAAACCTAACAAGAGAAGATGCAGTTTCTCTCCCAGATAGTTGGGTTTTCAGCATCTCCAAAGGATTTTCCTCAGGTGAAAAAGCTTCTAGCAATTTTGAAATTTGCTAGAGTGGTCTAGAGTTCATTTAACATTTGCAGTGACGTGTTTCAGTGTTCATACTGCAAACCTCACTGGTGAGGTAATGTTTTCCTTATGGCTGTTACAGGCTGGGTGTTTACAAAACTTCGGTAGTCCAAGCTTACTCCTGACTGCCACTGTGCTTTATGGACTGCCAGAGATAGAAGAGATGTTCTCAGTATAATCTGACTGATATCCTCAGTTAAAAGCTCCAGAGACAGAAAATATGCAACACTCTATTCCTGTCCTGTAGCCAGGGCCACAGAACAAACGAAATCAAAGCACAGGTTCTAGGACACAAGAGACACTCCTCTCTTCCTAATTTAACTGATATCTTAAAAACAACAGGATTTTTTTTTTGTTGTTTTAATATAGAAAAACAGCTTTTAAATAGTCACAAAAGCTTATGGGATTAAGTAAGAGCAGAAGTGTGCATGGGGACAGGGAGATGGTTTATTCCTCTGAAAGGAGGAAATGCCCTAATCTTCTCTGCATTTGACTGCTCAGACAGAACAGAATCAACTTAACATTTGCACGCACTACTAGAATTTCTAAGTGTAACTCAAAACCTAAAGAAGTACCTGTGGCTAGAAATTTTATCCTATGCAGTTTAATAAGGCAGCAAATTATTATCTTCACTAGGAAAGGCTTTAATTAGCCCAAGCCTAAAACACTGTAAAGGTTAAATATTGAAAGTATATGAACAACAGTGCTTATTGTCCTTCTGCTGGTGTTAAAAATCTTGCCAGGGATCCAATTTACTATGTAACAGCATGATTAGAAGAAAACACAACTTCTTTTTCTGTCTACTTCCAACGCTGTGTTAGGGAAGTCATCTAGTAACAAAGATGACATTAGACAGGAAAAGGGCAGTGTTCTAGCTTGTGAAGAAAACTGGAATCTGCAAAGCAGGTTGTTTTCAGTTTAAAAACAACACTGGAGGAAGTCTGGTTCCTTTGCAACTGAGCTCTTGCCAACTTCAAATGGAGACACAATTCTGACTTTAGCATAAATACTCACGGTTGACTCCATTCAGGAAGTTCTGAAATCTTCCAAAACAATCCCATACGAATAAGTAACAACTGTTTCTGGAACTTCTCTAGCATTTGGGCAGATCTAAACATTTTGGTAACCACAGCAAGCATGCAGAATTCGTAAGTGGAAAAGTGGTTTTACACAGCAAAAAAAAAATTTGAGTTGACCTGAACAAGTACATGAGTTATTAGTTAGTCAGTTTTTGGAAGGGAACTCCATCAGCATCTAGTCATCCTGAACTTGTTCCAGTACTAGGACTGAAAGAGGCTGGGGTTTCAAAAAGAAATTTCAGAAAGACTGAGAAATACCACATTGCCAGGAAGATGCAGCACACTTAAGCACAATAAACAAATGAGCGCATACTGTGAGGCTCTCCACAAGTTTTGATTTTCCAGATCTATACCTGGCTCACACAAGAATGATAGAACATTTCTACAGCTTAGAAGACTGTGATGAAATAGCAATAAGATAAGTATCTTGTGGCTAATTACAATGCAATTCGGGTTAGAAAGACTGAAAGAAAAAAACCTAAAGGAAATGATTCAGTTTTTACATCACGTCGGTGTTTTTATGAAAACAAACTCCACCAATATTAGTGCAAGTTACTCATGGTAGAAAAAAGGTTCATGAGTCCAATTTTCCTTACTTTCTCACGAGCAGATTTCTACGTATTTTCCTCTTGCACATTTGGTACATCACAAAGGCCAGTGAAAACTCCAGAGATAACCTGACCAACTTTCAGAAGTACTTCTGTGCTCTGGCACTACAATAGTAGCTCAAAGCCTGAGAGTTGAGAGCTCTCACTGTGTTTGTACAGTGTAAATACCAGTACCAGTGGCCCAAAATCAGGGAGAGGGGAAGCTCAGTTATAGTGGATTCTGATGAAAGTCGATGCTCCCTGTTTAAATATATACATTCTATTTGAAATAGCAAAACCACAAGTATATTAGGAAATTATGTTTCTCTTACTGCTGTTTAAAAAGTAGTTAATACAATGTTTTACTTAGCTACTAATAAAGATCAAATTTATTTTTGGTTTCAAGAAAAATATTATTGTTGTCCCTTATATTCACTGATTCCATTTACTGCTTCAGAACACATGCACTTCACATCAATCAGAAAAAAAAAAAAATTATTTGTAAGTGTCAAACATCTATTGCTGCAGTAAGTACTGTAATGGAAGCCAACCCAGCCACACTGACCCAGTATTTCTCAATTATCCAACAGCCCGGTGTGAAACTCTCTCTTAATTTGTAACACTAGGGCAAGCAAGTATTGGGTGAAAGGGTAAGAGCTGTTTGCATGCCCCAAAGGCAGAAAAGGCTAAAGGCCAAGGCAAGATTCCACAACTGAAAACAGTCCATTGAGACTATCTGAATTGGGAAAGTCCTTCCTGTAGACTCACCTGGTAGTTTTGCCTCATTAAATTCTGTCCAGACCCTGCCCTGTATGTCCCTGAGCTCCCTCCCTGCGGCGCTGCCTCGCACAGGCCGGGCCCGACTGCGCCGTGCTCTGGGCCCTGGGCACACGGGGAGTCAAGTCATAGAACCACAGAACCGTGGAACGATCAGCGGTTGGAATGGCCTTTAAAGATCATCCAGTCCCACCCCCCTGCCAAGGGCAGAGACATCTCCTACTAGACCACGTTGCTCAAGGCCTTATCCAGCCTGGCCTTGAACACTGCCAGGGTTGGGGCATCCACAACTTCTCTGGACCACCTGTGCCAGTGTCTCACCACCCTCACAGTGAAAAATCTCTTCCTAACATCTAACCTAAATTTCCCCTTTCAGTTTGTACCCATTTGCCCTTGTCCTGTTACCACAGTTCCTGATGAAGAGTCCCTCTCTGGCTTTCCTGTAGGCGCTTTCAGATCCTGGAAGCTGCTGTGAGGTCTCCACACAACCTTCTCCTCTCCAGGCTGAACAGCCCCACATTTCTCAGCCTGTCTCCATAGAGGAGGTGCTCCAGTCCCCTTATCAACTTTGTGGCCTTCTCTAGACTTCCTCCAACAGTGCCATGTCCCTCTTATGTTGAAGACACCAGAACTATATGCAGCACTCCAGGTGGGGTCTCACAAGAGTGGAGTAGAGGGAAAGAACCACCAGGAACATATGCACTGACAAGAGATTGTTTAAGAATTAGGGTGCTCATCTCCCCTCTAACACTTATAATAATCATTTTGACAATCGACAATGTAAGGAAATTAGGACATCAGGTGTTTTTTGTTTTGCAAGTGAAGATGAAGGAAATAGTCTCCCTGGGTAAAAGTTTTTAAAAATTTATCCAGGACAATATATTTATACTTATGCCAGGTGGATACAGCTGCTTCACTGATTCCTTGAGTTCATGCATTCAAGTTCAGACTCTGATCAAGTCACAGTATTAGGGTTGGACAACTATTAATACTATTTTACCCAACAAGCCAAAAGGCTCATTAATGACATTACCCAAGGTGCACAGATTAAATATTAACACTTATTTCCTGGCTCTGAATCTGGAATGTTACCAAACATCTGTGCAGCACAACGTAGGAGGAATTCTATGTACCCTCGTGATGACGCATTAGCAAGACTTAAAATTAAAATGGCATTTTCCAAGATAAAACAAAATAGTAACAGGAATCTCTTACTACATAAGAACAAAAGTTAGGAAAAATTAAACACCGAACCCTTCTTTTTTAAATAGGATTTAGCCAATAGATTTATCTGACCAAATCTTAGAAACACGAACACAACCACCAGTCATCAAAAGCCACTTCCTTTCTTTATAAATTTCCTGAAGTCTTGCAGCATTGCTCTGTATTAACCTTTCTGTGAAAGGAGTGATTCAAACAGTCAAATGTTAAAGTGCATGAGCTCAAGTACAGTCTGGCAGGGAAGCAGGCAGTGTAATGACAGGGATCATCCTAATCCTCCACTGAGAGTCCTGAGCAAATCCGTGTTCTGCAGGCACAGAAGGAGCCACAGCAGCTTCTCCTTTCACTGCAGTTCCCCGGTTATGAACTTCTCTTTAGATGTCTTCTCAAGAGTGGCTGTTGTGCAATGTAACAGGCTGAAGCTCTAAACAACATTCCATATTCCTTCAGAGAACCTGACTGGCTCCTCAGCTTTCAGCTTTTGACAAGAAATTCTGCCACCAATTTTACATTTACCTTTATTGCTTTTGCAAAACTCCATCATATCTCAGCCTTGTCATTAGGTTGCTTTGTTCTCAGACATGGGTCGTAATTTAGGTAGTGAAATTATTTACATACTTAAAAAGGGAAGGGGGAGAGTAAATGTTCCTCCTCATGTACTGCATTAGCAGACTTCTGCCTACTAAAAGTGTTCTGGGGGCTGGGAGAGATTTTTCTAAGGTTTTTATGAGTTTTTCAAAATTCTGTGGGGACAGTCAACAAGAGGAACGCCAGAGATGGGAAATACACTTTCTCTTTTCTCTTAGAAGCTCACACTCAAATGCAAATTCCACCCCCCCTTTTTTTTTGTGACTAAGCAAAAAAAAAAAAAAAAAAATAGAAAATTAGGCTCTCTTATTTGCAATTTGCAGAAATTCTCTCCTTGCAGATGTTCTGATATACAGATGATCAGCTGTGCACTTCAAAAACACAAGTTTAAGAAAACTGCCCCCACCCATGGTCATTTGAGATGGCGGCCCCTGAGATTTCAAGCATTAGTCATCTCTATTTTTCATTTTCATTGTGCAATACAAATGCTCTGAGGGTCAATAAACATGAGGAGCGTGGGGAGCAGGCAGAGTTTAATCCTTTGCACAATCACAGTATCTTCCAGTGAAAGAGTGATGATGTTTTTTGTATCTTTAAGGAACTGAATTTTACTGTAGTCTTAATGCAAAACTTTAGCACAGTCTATTGTTTGGTTCATGTTGAACCTACCCCATCACTTCTTAGCCAAACATAGCTAGATTCATCTCTAGATATCTATCCTCTCTGGATCCACATGTGGAATTCCCCAGCAGTAACTTATCTAAGACAGGAATTTGTACTGCAACTTTCTGCTGACTTGACTTTTAACTTTTTGTCAGTGAACTTGCTTTCTGATACTTTCATGTGCTTTATGATAGTCTGAGATATCTTTAGGGTATGTTACTTGGCATTTTCTACCACAGAAGGCTATTTAGTACTATCTCACTATTTAGTACATCATAACAGCTCTTTGATTTTATCTGCACTTCAAAGAAGTGAGGTGACCAAACAAATGTTACATTTTCTCCTGTAAGGCAAAGTGCACATTTAAATTTTTAGATTTCACAGCTCTAAAAACTATTTTGTTCAAAAGTAGTCTGAACACAAACATTCATACTAAGCAGAGCAAGGTAGAAACTAGCACAATTCTTCAAGAAGTTTAAAAAAAAATAGAGGAAAAAATCTACCTCTGAGGCAGTTTTAACCAGCGAGGTTTTGAACTTTACCACCCCCCAATACCCAGGAAGGCACATTTATTGCACTTCTTATTTATAGACACAAAAGTGTTTGTCTAAGGTGTACATTTTCAGGGGCAGAACCATTTGATGTTTAGTCCAAAACATCCAAGTAGCTTTTGCAAAGCAGCAGAGGACAAAGTTGTCCAGGCCCAGGTGCTCCAAGCCTGAGCTGGAAGCTGGCTCTGGCCAAGGAGCTGCATAGCCACATCATCATGATCATGCCTGTGCACGTGTCCTACCCCTCAGTGGGCACTAGCACAGCCACAGAGCTTCCTGAAAGGGATTTGTTCAAATCTCCATGGTCTGAAACATAAAAACTGAGGGGGCCCGATGGCATGACATATTTAGATAACTAGATGAGTAAAGCTGGAATCACAGTAGCAACTGTAGAAGAACGAACTGTTCCTGCAACACTAGACTAAACAGACAGTAAAGTGGTCTCAGCCCTAAATTTTGAAGGAAGCCTGAAGAGGAAGCTGACGCTGTTGACCATTCTTTCAACTTATTTTTAGGAACTTTTTGTTCTGAAAAAAGGGACAGAAAAATCTTTAGTATGACACTGTATCACAACAATCCATGGTTAGTAATAAAGAAAATAATAATTTAGTTTATTAATAAATGCAGTGATACTCAAAAAGCTAACTTTGTCAGAAAATGTTTTTAATTCAACTTAAAAATATGCACTTCAAGTCTGTCAATATTTGGACTGATCATTACAGTGATGGGAGGACAACGTTCCTATTGGAAGGTTTGAGTAAGGGCTATCTAAGTGCCCACTCCCTAGTTATTGTCAATCTTACTACTCGCTAGAACACAAACATGTCACTTTGCCTTGAACACAACTGCAATTCAAATGTTTCTAGGTAAGTAGGTCGGCAAACTCATGAAAAATCTAGAAAAGAAAAACATTAAATAGTGAAAATTCTACACACTCTTAAGTTACAAACATATCTAAACAGACCACTCAACCCAAACTTTCCCTGGCTTGGTAATAAGAGCTTTGTCAGCTGTTGGTTGTTGGTGTCATTTGTATAAATGCAAAACACTACCTGCTCCTTGCAAACATGGAACAGGCTGTTCAGGTGCTCTACTTTAGGTCATGGGATACCACTAGAAACTCGTAACCATTTTCAGTTTTCACCTAAACTCTATGTTCTGAGTGCCTTCAGGTGCTTGAATGATGTAACACACTGCCAAACACTGTGCCTGACAAAAAGTTTTGAAGTGTACTCTAGGTTAAAGCTGCTTTAAAGCCTCAAGTTTAAAGCTTCTGCAACCCAGTATTCAAAGCTTAACGTTCTGAAAGATAAATCTACTTAATGCTATGCACATTACAAAAATATTTCTCATTTTCAGCTAAATAAGGAAAGTTATAAACTTTCTAAGAGGTAATATGTAACAACTTTATTAAACTAACTGTTCTGTCTGAGGAACACCAATGAATCACCTTAGAGAAACAGAAATCTTATCTACTATGACCTTTCAGGGAATAGAACATCCTCTCCTTTACCTTGCCAGTGTTTGGGCACAGACCATGAATCACAAAGGTAGGGAAACAGCTGGTGTGGTAACGTGATCTGGACAGAGGCTTACACTTACTTCTGACCATTCTGTGTATGTGATTATCATTCATCAGACTGTCTTTGAACATTCAAATAACCTGCACTCAGCTCAAGGACAGAACGAGTTTTTATCTTCAGTTTTGTCAGACAAACTCCCAGGCTGTTTATCACACACTCTCCTCCTCAGCTGAGTCCATGGAGCCATAATGGTCACTGCATAGGTGCTTCAAGACAGGCAAGAACAACAGACCAGCCAGATGGAGGAGTGACAATGCCAGAACGGCAAAAAGTAGAACACTCACACAAACAGGATGCTCTCCATAGTCTTCTAAGGCATAAACTTGCTCCGATCCCTGTTCCAGCTCCATGTTCTCAGTCTGCTTTTTATTTAAACACAGCAAGCTTAGTTTCACTTTCCAGTTGTTCCTCTTCCCTGTGGTGATACATTTCATAATGAAAGCACTTTTGACCAAGTTCAAACAGTGGAGCTCATAAAAATACAAAAGCATTTCCATGCTTATGAAATAAACAGATTATCCATTTTCATAATGAAAATTAAACACATCTATCAAACAAAGGTACAAAAGCAAGGCTATCAAGTTCAGTATTAAATTACCCAGTGCAAATACACAGTATGAATCAACAATACATACAGCTCTCTTCATGGAAAGTAATATGCAAAATGACAAACTAATGGGCTACTACAGGCAGACAGAAACTTCTCCATCCTTCCTACTTCTACATCTGGTGCAAAAAGATAACATACCTCACAAACTAGGATCTCTTCTTTCTCTTTCATTTTTCCTTTCTATTGCTGTATCACTTTGCTGTTATTGGATATTACCACTAGCTGCAGAATTACTGTCTCAACTCTTCTACATAACATTCAAAGCTACAGAAAATACTGTTATAAAACTACACTTTACCTATACAGTATTGCAATTCTTTAAGTATATGAGTTTTCATTGTGAAAGAAGACCAAAACAAAAACTACCATACTAGGAACAGAAAAGAGGCTAGAGAAGTTAGTACTTGAAGCAATTTTTAAGATGCAACACAACTTCAGCAAATTTGTTGAATTGACACAAATGTGACCTCAGTGTAACACTCCAAAAGAGAAGTGAATACAGTGCAAGAAGCCCTCTGGTTCTCTGTCTGAGTCAAGTTTAGGTTCATGGCAGCTAACTCAGTCCAGATCTGGACTGTGGTGATCCCAGCTGGACTTCTGGGCTGTTCCTCTGGGCTGCAGATTTTGCAGGCAGCCAGTTATACATAACCTTTGAGTTGCACGGGCTGTGTGACAGAGCTCCACACAGGTGGCACAGCGAGGATGGCAGCATCACCTTGGTTTAGTTTTGCTGACACAGAATTATTTGCACTGTAGCTTTGTAAGAACTTTAACCAAGCCTTAAATTAGAGCTACACGCAGAAAATGAGCTAATAATGAACAAAGTAGCCTCCAGCAATTTGTTGCTGCTCCAGCCTTTACAAGCTTAGTGTGTCCACAGAAGTGCATTAGGGAAAAAAGGCAACCAGAAGCTATAGCGTGAAAACTAGCCCACTTTTATCTTTATTGAAAGAAAAAAAGCCAAAAAACTAAACACCAAAAAACACTCAAATAAAAACCCACCACCCACTCCTCCATTCCCAACCATTTATTAAAATTTTACTGCGGATTCATTTTATACATTCCCAAACACTTTAATAGGCATAATTTATTATTTGTGGGAGGTCAGGAGTTAGTAATCTTCCTAATCCAAAGTGGCTCTATGGTACAGGAAAAAAGCAGCTGGTTGCCAAGTTGTCATCTTAAGCTATCAAACAAATGCCCTCATTCATAAATTTTTGGGGTTTTGCTGTGAGCCAACACTCAGCAGCTTCCAGCTCCTCAACCTTAACCAGAATATTTGAAGTAGTGCCATTCCACAGGCTGCTCAACTCCTCTAGCTTCCAAGGCAAAACATTTAATAAGAATGACTCACTGTGTATTCTACTTATCAAGTCCTTTAGGTAAACTGAACTTAAAAGAATCTCTTCAAAAACTATTGCGTGTGTGACTACTGGAGAGGAAACAACAAAGCACCCACTGGATTGCTTGGGTAAGGTGAAGTGTTCCAGTAAATCTGACCAGTTCCATCAATTTGCTTTGATTTTTTTTTTTCCAGCAAGATACTTTCATCCTCTTACCTGGAAGGACAATACAAGCTCCATGTAGTCTTACCCAGCTCCCTTCAGCCCAACACACCCAACAGGACACTGATATCAGCACTCATTTAAATATGCAAAGACTCATTCTGCCCTGTGTGCCACCTGCCCCAAACATGAGCAATAAAACCCTGAGAAATTAGATCAAACACTTTGCAGCACCTGCCTAACGGGACAGTGAGTGTGCTTCCTATGTCCCCTTGTGTGAGGACCTGACACCACTCGTTATTTGCAGTCTAATGTTTCTCTAAACACATCTTAGGGTGCTTTTTGGTTTAAGTTGTACAGGTGGCTCCTAGAGCACAGAAACACACATAATAAGTAAGTTACTGTTTTGTAAATTTTGAAATCTTTAATCAGCCTTGTAGGCAGATAAGCAATCACTGCATGAAGCAAAAATTTATTTATTTTGAGAAAGTTCTTGTTTTAGCAAACACTGTGGTATCTGAAGCTTGCTATTGAGCTGAGTAAGCTGCATGTAGAATGAGCAACTTGGCTGCTCAGTCTCCAGAAACACAGCACAACTTTAGGTTTGTCTTAAAAGACCACTGAATTTCAGGCTCATCAGTACATCTTATCCTAAACCAAGAAGTACAGCTCTTATGTTACAGCAGAGCACCCAATACAAAAAATGCAAGGACAGAAATCAACAGGTGTGTCCAGTGGATGCTGTGGAGAGCAGAGATGATGGAATGAAGGAACATCAGGCTCTCTCCAATGCCTACAGCAGGCTTGTGGTGGGATCTGCCTGCACAGTGTCAGCCCCTCCAAAGCCTTTGGGTTCCACAGCAAGACATGGCCATGCTGGAAAATATTCACAGGAAAACCTATCAGATATATCGGCATGGCAACGTTTCTCTCTGTAAAAGCCTTTGTGCAACTGAGGGATAGGAAGAAAAATTCACTTGCAGTAGCAGACAGTTAAAGCAAACCTAACACAAGTGTTAAAGCTGTTCTTACTGTGCTGCAGAAAGATTCTCTGGCAGCTGTGAAAGAGGTGCCTCAGGGCACACGTGTGCTCTGCAGAAATCATTTATTTGCTTTATATTTCTTTTCCAAATAACTGAACTGGGAAATACAAACATGCTGATAACTACCAACATGGAACAGAATCTTTCTTTGTGGTATCCCATACTTAACATTATAATTTATTCAGTTCCTCTATTTTTCTTGATCTGTGAGTGAGATTTGTGCAAACAAGGCCCTTAAAAGGGCCTAAGGGTCACTTACAGTTATACAGCTATTTTAAGTGCTGCCCTCCATCTCTGACAGTGAGCAGTGTAGGTGATGTACAAGGGGTGCATCAGTTACAGCAATGCCAAAGGCCTGGTGGGCAGAGGCTGAAAATACAACTGTTTGGGGATGGAAGGAAATACATGGTGAAATAAGCAGCAGCGCGTGGATGCTTGACATTTGTTTTCAGTTGTGTCATTTAAAGGTCAAAATTTCATCAAAGAAATGAAGGTGTTTAAGCTCTCAGTCTCCAGTAACACAATCCCTGTGATGTCAAACCCCACACGGCTGCTTAGTGGGCACTACTGACACTGCCAGAGCCCAGCCTGGCACCCATGGCACTCTCCTGAGGCCTGTGTTTTCCATGAAAGAACAGCACTCAGTAGGAATCTCAGCTAAAGGCACCATTACCACTCAAGTCACTTCTCCAAAGTTACACAGCAAACACACAAACAAGCAGCATCATAAACCAGATACCAAACTGCTGACACGGAGTCAGTGCACGTACAGAGGAAAACCTCAGTGAAGGTGCGGCGCAGGATGCACATCTTGGGGCCTGCAATGTGCAGAACAGCGGCTCAGGAAACAAAACAACCATCCTTTCATGTCCCTTCGGTCTACTGCTGTGTCTCCGAGAATGTATTCAGTGTAATTTAAATTTAAAATGCTACACAGTTCAGTGAAGCACATTGCTAAGTGAAACAAGGATCAGAGTACGCTGTACTAATACTACTTTCACCTTAAAATGGGTTGCACTGTATTGTAAAATAGCTTAAAAAGAAACAAACAAAAACCAGGTCTGCTCTACAGACCTAATAAGTACTTTTGCAAAACATAACCATTAGCTAGATGTTAAGAAAACTTTTACATGTTGACCATGCTTATACTACAGCAAAAGTACAATGGGTAGGCTAAATGTGTCATTAACAGATGACTTTAAAAATATTTACTTATAATAAGTTTAAATAACTTTTTAGAAAGAAATTGTACACAAGCATTTCTGTCACTGTCTTGGTATTGCTCACTTACAATCTTATTTTCTCTAGTAAGGAGAGTTCAAACAGAACACTACTTCAGTGTTATTCAAATGATAATTTAAACATCTCTTTAATTAGTATAAGTTGAGAGAGAACAAGTACTGGGATGTAATGTGCTATTTTAAGCCTGTCCTTGCCATGTCAACTTGTTTCTAATTTCACAGGCTTTCAAGCATACCTAGTTTTTTTAAAAATCGATATAAACATTATTATTCTAAGTACCATTATACACCTATGCTATAGAACATTCCTGATTATCAGTGCTTGGAAATATGGGCATTAGAAGTGATCAGCAAAAATCAGGAGATGAGCTGCAGCATCATCACACAGTTTAAAGTAAAACAGATGTACATACAGGTATTCTGCTCTGGGTTTTGACACTTAACAGCTGCCATTGCCAGACCAATGAATTTATAAATAAGAACTTTAAAAGAAATATAAATCTAATGCCTAATAGGCAAGTTGCAAGGATGCTTTTAAAAAAAGATGCTCTACTGATGAAACAGTAACACACTCTAGGAAATCAACAGTCACAGCAATGTACATTGAAGGAAGTCCTAGTTCATTAGTTTTGTCCTCACTGAACAACAGTGGTATTCAAGTATAACAGATTTAAGAGTCTCGGATTTAAAGTGATAACTCAGGATCTACCTGGGATCACTTTAAATCCGAGACTCTTAAATCTGTGATAATTAGTGGATCACTTTATCTCTACCTTGGAGATAAAGATATTTCACCTTGAAGCCCAGCAAACTCCCAGATGTACAATATCCAGTGATTTGGTATTAACTGTACTATAAAACCCATGCAAAAATTTAAATAACTAAATAAATAAAATTTAATATCTAGGATTCCTTAAAACCACTTTACTGAGGTGAAAAGTACTCTTTGATTTCAGTGGCAAGTCCATGTGCTTAGTTCTATCTGAAGCAAAGAAAGAGGGAAACAATTCCTCACATCCTTCACATTACACAGCTGTTAATCCAAAAGCAAAGCAAATAAAATGCACATCGACTTTTTGAAGCAGCAGCTCCAACCTCACTTCCATCCTAAGCAACTCACATACACAAGCTTTAAAAATCATCCATTATACAAACTGACAATCTGGCAACATGTTGGCTGAAGGAAAACACTTCCCACCCCTCCCAGTCCAATGCCCACAATCACCTTTCCTTGCTTGTTCTTCCCCTCCACTTCCCCAGATTGCCTGTACTATTTATTTCCTTACTGAAAAATGGCTCAATGTGCCTCTGAGTTTTCTGCTATATTTGGGATATAACTAACTGCTATATTTGAGATACAAATAACTCTCCAGCCAATTTTACCAACACGCCTCACACCCACACTGAACACACCTCATATCGAACCTCTGCAGAAACACAGAAACTTAAGGGGTTGGAACGGACCCTACAGATTATCTCATCCCAACGCCCCTGCCATGGGCAGGGACACCTTCCACTAGACCAGGCTGGCTCAAGGCCTCATCCAACCTGGCTTTGAACACTGCCGGGGCATGGGGCATCCACAACCTCCCTGGGCAACCAGTTCCAGCGTCTCACCTCACTCACAGTAAGAAGATGAAGTTGAAGCCAGCCCTCAGCTCAGTCCTTACTCAGACGCTACTCTGGGCCGTGGCCACACAGGTCAGCAGCAGCACAGTAACCCCAACAGCAGACAGGCTTCCTATCTAGGGCAACAACAACAGCACGAGGAATTTCCACCCCCACCATTCATTCCTAACCTCTGTATCACGCACCTGGTCAGGTAAATAGTGTTATTCACATCTGGCACATGACCAAAGCTGTATCTTGATTACGAGTGTACTTTATATGAAGTATCAGGTATTAGGAACTGATAGCCCTGAGAAGAAGCAGGGCTGGGAAAGCAGACCTGCTGTAGTTTAATTTCTGTCCAACTGTTTCTGCTGAGCTCAATGCAGGTCCCACTAGGACCTTCTGCAGAGAAGGAAAGTGAAGCCACAGCTCCCAGGCAATTCTGGCCACTGGCCAAGTCTTTTTCCATACAGCGTCTTTTAGTTTGTGTCCATGTAAAACAAGCAAAAACAACTCGCAGCTCCAGCATATCCAGGATTAAGGCAAGGTCCTCCCATCCACCACTCAGACCACAAAGAACAGTCTAAGAAAGGGCCCTGGTTCTGTCAGGCTCCATGGCCACCACAGATCATGACAGAAACCTGTCACACCAGTCCCAGCATCTGTTTTACTTTCAGTGTAGAATAAGTTACTCTGGGTGAGTGTCCACAGAAGGAATAACCAGTGCTGTGTTCAGCTTTCCTTTGTATGTGCCTGTCTGCAGAGTTCAACATTTTGAGGAAACACGCAGTTTCTAGGACTGTCAGCAGATTACGGGCACTCCTAATTCCCCTCCCACCCCCAACCAAAAAAACAAGGAAACAAAAGCAACAGCAAAGTACTAATAATTCCTATCCACTGTAAAGCATAGCTCTACCAGCAGAGGAGAAATAGTTTCTTAAGCTTTTCCTTCCATACAGCTAGTCTATTCCAAATGGCAACGTGAAGGAGAGCAACCCCAGTTACAGGGAGGACAAGAGGCAACTTTGGAAAAAAGATGAACCAAAGCAGTCACTTTACAGCTGCTCTATAACTCAGGAAAATTAAACAGTGTGGCCAGCTTTTGAGATATGCCTTCCACAAAAAAGGTGGAAGACATTGCACCATCTAAATAGCATTCCAAACTACGAACAGACGGAACAAAACTGTAAATTTTGTTTCTCAGGAAATTGCTTTCCTCCTTCCATGCAACTTCCTTCTCTCCTGAGAAAACAAATGTCCTGAAGCACAGTGACCACATGCTTAGTGGAGTACACAATGAAGATTTCCCTTAATGATTAACTCCAACTGTTTTTTAGCTTAAGCAATGCGTTATTCAGAAGAGTTTTGTTATAAACAAGCCCTCATTCATTTGTCAAGTTAACTACCTAACTCTATTTATCATTAACTTCAATAGATTTTGCATGTTTACTTGGCTCAGGCTACTGTTTGGTATTTAATTTTAATATTAACTTCATTTAAAAGAGGCGGTATCTATTTTACTAGATATATATCTTAACAGATATCTTGGCATATACCTGTATGCAATGCCTTGCTGTAGTGATTGGCTCCAGAGTGGTTTCTCTAGTGTTATAAAAGGGCTGAAGCATAACCCTTACTCCAGGAGAAGGTGTCATCTGTTGAAACTCTAATTATGCTGCAAATTTATAGCTGCTGCTGTTGGATTAGTCAATCAGCAGACTTGCAGTGTATGTTCCAGAGAGCATTAAAGGTCATACATGAGTAAATTTTGCATGAGATGCAAACACCCAAATAGTGAAGACCTCATGAAACCCTCACCACAGGAGGGTTCCTGGGGGCACATCGTCTGTTTTAAGTTCATACAGTTCTGTAGTTTAAGACAACAATGAAGGGGAACTGATAAATACAAAGAAATGAAAACTATGTTAAAAATGCATTAAATATTTTCCAAAATAACTTTTATGTGGAAATATTTAAGGCTTCTGTAGAACTGTGTTGAAATACAAACTTTGTATGCATGCACAAAAAGCAGAAGAAAAAAAAGCACGAAACCAAACTTTGCTAACTGTCTCTTATTTGGGAGAAAAAATTGGTTTGGAGATTTATTTGTTTAAAACTTAAGATTTTCACATCTTCAGAAAAAAAAAAGAACGATGGCTTTAATTGTTGCAGTTAGTCTGAGATGCCAAATCATAAAGATCAAACAGTAGAATCTAAAGGAAAAAAAAAATCATGTTTCTATGGCCTCTCTGTAGCTTTATTTGCTAATTTTTGCCCTTGAAATTGGCAAGACCACAACTGCAAGTTTGTCTACAACAGTAAATGACAAAGCATGTCATATTCTTATTTTTATGCTGCAACAGTCCAAGATGAGAAGAGCAAACAAGTAAGGACAGACATTATCCTTACCCTGACAATCCTCTTTCACCACCCTCAGGGACTACAGCTCTCCATTTACTTTATATAAAACAATCCTTAGCTGACACCAAATTTCTCTGTAACCTCCATCTATATTTACTGAGCATCCTCACTGAACTATTTTGTACTATAACTCTTTTTCTCCTAGCATAATTTAATTTTTCATATTTAATTTTTGTTTTCCCAAAAGTTATAAGCTATATGCTATACTATATGCTAAAATTATTACTGGGCAAACAGCAGCACTAGATCAGCAGAGGTCTGTGCAGCCGAGGCAGGGGTGTTGGGCAATGCACATGCACTCGTTTCCCAAATTATCTTCAAAAATGCACAGAGCGGATGTTGTAGAACACCAAAAAGCAAAATTTATCACAGAGGAACAGGACAGCAAAAATATTCATCCCGTTTCTTGCTCTCCTTTAACAGGTGCTCCTGTGACGTGGCCGAAAAGCATGCGCTGAGCGGTGCAATCACCTCTCCTGATCAGCATCAGCCCATCTCCCGAGCCCAGCTCCTCCTCTGCATCCCGGCGGGGGCGGGGGGCTCGGGGAGGGCGAGAGCCCCGCCGGGGCACCGGGCAGGGCCCCGGGAAGGCCTCGGCAGCGCCCGGGGACGCGGCTCCCGCCCGGCGCCGAGGGACGGAGGGACGGGAGCGGCGGCAGCTGGTCCGTCCGACGGCGGGAGCGACCGCGCTCGGCCCCGCGGGCTGAGGAGGGGATGGAGAACTGAGGGAGGCGCCGGAGCTGCAGGGGAGCCCCGAGCGGAGCCCCGGCCCGGTGCTGCGCTGGCACGGGCAGCGGCGCTCCCGCCCGGGTTCAGCCGGGGCCGCCGGCCCGACCCCCGCTCGGCACCTCCAGGCGGCCTTTTGGGGCCAGCACCTGCTCCGGGCAGCGGCCGGGGCCGCTGCTGCCCGCCCGGTCCGGGGCGCCGAGCCCCGGCACATCCTCCCGGCCCGGCCCCCGGGAGCCGCGGCCGCAGGGAGGGACCTGACCCCGGGTAACCCCCGCTCCCTCCCGGCTGACCCGGCCGCCCCGGCCCCTCTGGGAGCCCCCGCGGGCCCACCTGGCCCGGGGGCAGCGCCAGCCCCGCATCCCCTTCCCCGTGCTCGGGGAGACCCTCCCGTCCCTCGCCCGTCCTTATGCGCGAAGCGACCCTCCCGCCCCTCGCCGCGCCCAGATGCTGCCGAGGGGCAGAGCGAGGGCACCGCACCGGAGCTGCTCTGCCCCGGCCCGGCCCAGCCCGTTCCTTCCCCGGCCATCCCACACTCACCGCTGCCGGCGGAGATCGCGACGGTACCGGTGGCGGTACCGGCTGCTAAAATGGCTGAGGGCGCGGGGGAGGAGCGAGCCCCGCTCGCCGCCGCCAGTGCCGCCCAATCCACCCGCCGCCGCCGTGACGCGCGGGGAAGGGGCGGGGGCGGCCGGGCCGGGCCCTGCGGGGCGGGGGTCGCGGGGCCCTGGTCCTGGTCGGTGCTCCGGAGATGTCCCGGGGTGTCTCGGGGTGTCCCCGGTTCGCAGGCGGGTGGAAGGGGTGTCACGGACACCAGGCCGCGGGCCCCTGACCCGCTGCGGGGCCTGTTGGTGTGGTGTAAAGCTCCCAGGAGCCGAGGGGCTCTCGGGCCTACGGGCACGTGGCAGAACAAACCCCCGCCCGAGCCCCGGGCACAGCCCCTGCGCTCCCGAGCGGGCTCCGGCTGCGAGCAGCAAGGCCCCCGGTCCGGATCTTTCAGGCTGGAACAGACAGCTCAGAGGCTTATATCCCAGTTTTGTCTCCTGACAAACTGGAGACCACCAGAGCTGAGGCAGACGCCCCCTTGGTCTTTGTTCAGAACACGAGAAATGGGTTTAAGCGG